GCATTCCCAGAAGCCCGGCGACCAGTCTCTTACAGAGATACACGCATCATTCCCCCAGACTCCTTTCCTAAATTTGTAGAGGCTGCTTTGACTTTTTTCAGCTATATCTCTACTTTAGGTTTATGAAACCCTGTTTGGGAGCTGGAAAACCCAGACTTTGACTCTTTGTCATAAGCTGCATTGCCACTCCCTGCAGAAGAAAGGACGCATGGAGAATTCTGGCAGCTGCCTGAATGTTGGGTGGGAAAGGGAATCAGTACAAGGGCAGCAGGGAGGTGGTGACTGAGGAAGCCAGTTCGTAATAGCTCAACAGAAGTTACTGTGTATTGAGTTATTCTACCCATAATTTGTGTGTTAATGTAGTGGGTGTAGAATAATATTAATAGCAGGTGCTTGTCAGTGCCAGACATTATTTCAAGTAATCTTAAGTAGTCTTTAGTTCCAGCAGCCTGTGAAGTGATACCACTGTTATTACCCCCGTCAAAAGATCTAAGAGTCAAAATGCAGCAAGTTCTTGTAGCTCTTCAGCCAGTAAGTGGCAGATCCTGGTCTTGCAGCCAGGTATCGGCTCTGAGTCGACTCCTGCAACCATTGGATCTGTTGCTGGTTGTGGGATGGGCAGTCACAAATACTTTGTGTGATGATGATGATGATGATGATGATGATTAATTTAAATTCAATTAGCCAACATATAGTACATCATTAGTTTCAGATGTGATGTTCAATAATTCATCAGTTGCGTATAACACCCAGTGTTCATCTTTGTGTATGATTATTGAAGGTAGATCTTTTTCTCTTGTAATTCTTGTAATTTGACACTCTTCTTATGGAAGTTTGCTCATTTCATAAAAGGTATTTTTTTTCTTTTTTTTACTATTTAGGAAGACATGATCCTTTTATTGTTTTGTTTTTTTCTGTATATATATGTGCATGTGTGTGTGTGTATATATATATATACATATACATATTACTTCACTAACTTAGGTGTTTCTCCAATTTGGATAAAGAGCCCTTCCTAGTTTCAACTGCTAGTAGTCACCTGAGTTTAATATCTGTATCATCTCAGGTCAGTGATTTGCTTTCCAAAGTTGTGTAATTTTTAAACCCTGTTTATTCTGGAAAGGCTCAAACATACACGGAAGTGGAGAGATTAGTAGGATGAACATTCATGTGCTCAGCTCTTGGTTTTCAGCTCATTGCCAATCTTGTTTCATCTATACCATGATCCATGATTTGTTAACTCTGGCTCTCCTGACATGTTGGGCCAAAAAATTCCTTGTTGTGGGGGGCTGTCCTGTGCCTTTTAGGATGTTTTAGCGGTATTCCTAGCCTCTACCCACTAGATGCCAGGATCTTCCCCCTACCACGTCTTCTGGATTATGACAACCAAAACTGTCACCTGGGGGGCGAGGCATCCCTCGTTGAGAACCACTGATTTATACTCACTCCACTCTCCCCATCCTTTCAAGATTATTTGGAAGCAGATCCTATACCTCAAATCAAACCCATTGTGACTTATATTTCTAAAAAACAGTGCCTCCCATTTTACTGGCCCTATATGAGGAAAGAAGCCAAGATCTCATCCTGTTCCTATATGAATTGTCATGGCAGCCTGCCACGGCTGGCCACAGAGATGGTCACAGTTCATACCAGCTACTGAGTTGATATGAAGTAGCAAATGCAAAGAAATTGGTGTCATGCTTCAGCCTATACTTTTTTTTTTAATTGTGGTAAAAGAGACAAAATATAAAATTTTCCATTTTAACCATTTTTAAGCATATGGTACGGTTCAGTGACATTAAGGACATCACATTGTTATGCAACCATCATCACCACACACCTCCAGAACTCTTTTCATTTTGCAAAACTGAAACTCCATATCCGTTAAATAATAACCCCATTCCTTCCACCCCTCAGTCTGTCTACTGTGAATCACCATTCTACTCTCAGTCTCTATGAATTTAATTACTGTATTCCAGGTACCTCACTTAAGTGGAATTACACAACGTTTGTCCTTTTATGACTTATTCACTTAGCATAATGTCCTCCAAGTTCATCCATGTTGTAGCATATGTCAGAATGTCCCCCATTTTAAGACTGAATAATACTCCGTTGCGTAGATAGACTACATTCTGTTTACCCATTCATCCGTTGATAGACACTTGGGTTGATTCCACTTTTTGGCTATTGTGAGTGGTGCTGCTACCATGGGTGAAGAAATATTCCTTCATGACCCGGCTTACAGTTCTTTTGGGTAAATACCCAGAAGTGGGATTGCTGGACCATATATAATTATATTTTTCATTTTTTGAAGAGCTGCCATGTTGTTTTCCACAGTTGGCTGCACCATCCTACACACCCACCAGCAGGGCACAAGGGTTCTAATCTCCCCTCATCCTTGCCAACACGTTATTTTGTGTTGGTTTTTTTTTTTTTTTTTTAAATAATAGCCATTCTTCTGGGTGTGAAGTGGTGTCTAACTGTGGTTCAGCGTGTGCCTTTTAAGATAAACATCTGGTAGTTGAAAAGCAATTCTGTGAGAAGCCTCCTGTAGAACTGAGCAGTGCTGCTGTTTCCACTTTTGCCTTGGAACAGTTTGCCAGGGAACATTCAGATAGCCACCCGTGACTCACTCCCGGGAAGAGGATGGGGGACTGGGTTGTTTCTGTGTGTGGGAGGAAGCTTTCAGTTCCTAACAAAGTCTTGCGTTTTGGCATTAACTACCGACAGTTAAGGGAAATGATTCGGGTTAGGTTAGGAGCAAAGACCATTAGAGCCAGAAGGGACATTAGGGATCAGGTCTCCGAAATCACACGTTTGGCCCCTCACTCCCCCAAAATATTGAAACCCAGAGCACGTACGTCTTCTTTTCTTGACTTGCTGGTAGTGACAGTGTCTTGACGCTGTCCCGAGTATCTGGCATATAGCGTCAACCAGGAAATGTTGGCAGAATTAATCAGTGAATTACCTAAGGTCGCCCAGCTGACACCTGAGAGTCAGAACTAGGGCATTCAGATTATGGTGGCAGAAAAATGGCAGATTGTGTCAGTGATCCAGTGAACCTTTCTTTCCTCTTTATCGATCACTGGGGTGACAAGATCAGATGGAGTGTTTTGCACGGTGAACCTTATTCTTCCTTGCAGGGTTGCAAGGACACACTTTCTTTAAGACAAGCCCAGCTGATGAGACTGTCTGGAGGCTGAGGAGGTCTGGGCCAGCTGAGTGAGAGCCACCAAGCTGAGCAGGGAGCCCGACGTGGGGCTTGATCCCAGGACCCAGAGATCATGACCTGAGCTGAAGGCAGACGTTTAACCATCTGAGCCACCCAGGCGCCCCCATAACTTTGACTTTCTACTTGCCAATTCCTTTACGTTTTGAACCTTGCTAAAATGGTTATTTTTTTCTCCGTGTGTGTGTGTGTGTGAGAGAGAGAGAGAGAGAGAGAGAGAGAGTTGGTGGTGGTGTATTTAGGCTCCAAAAGAAGGTTTGACCGCGGGGAGGTGGATGGGGGTGGGGTAACTGGATGATGGACATGAAGGAGGGCACATGATGGGTGTTATATGCAAGTGATGAATTATTGAACTCTACATCTGAAACTAATAATGTACTATGTGTTGGCTAATTGAATTTAAATTAGAAAAAAGCTATGACCACATCATGTAGGCTGGGATCACAATTCACCTCCTGTCTGTCTTTCAGGGTAGAAAGTGATGGCAGGCAGTAAGCGGGACTAAATTTTTGGAGAGACCAGTGAACACGAATGATCTAATAGAGGGGGAAACTCAGCACAGTCAGTTTTTAAAAACGAAATGAAAGGGGCACCTGAGTGACTCAGTCGATTAAGCAGCCAACTCTCGATTTCGGCTCGGGTCTTGATCTCAGGATCGTGAGTTCAAGCCAAGCACGGAGCCCATTAAAAAAAATAAATAAATAAACAAAAAAAATTCTCTTAAAGTATTTCTGTGAGTCATCAGGGGTTCAAAGTAGTCTTGGTTTTTACTGGGAAAACAAAGTGAGCTCAGGTGCAGCGGATGTTGCTGCCTCCAACCCCACCTCAGCGGCAGCCCTAGTGAATGTCACCAACAGCTACCATTTTCTGTAGTGTGAAAAACTGTGGAGGCTGAATTCGAGGCTCTGTTTAGATATTTGTATCCTCGATCCCTTTTCCATTAAGTGTCTTCCAAAAGTGAAGTTTTCACTCCAAATACTCTGGGAAGTCTGAATCGCTCTTCCACGTGTCCTTAATGATTACATCACTTGATATATTTTGGTTTTAGGTTAAATCAGCTGATCTTTCCCACAGGTATCAGGGAATTATTTTATATTTTCTTGCAGGCCCAGTATTTTTGAGAGATAGTCCAGTGAGATTTTTCTAAGGAAATTTGTTGCCTGTTTTGCACGATTGGACAGGGTTTGGCATTGGATGTTTAAGGCGGGACTGTTTCTTTTTATGTGTGGATTTTTCGTGCCACCCCTTGAGCTTGAGCAACGCTCTTGTTAATTTGGTGTTAATTTAAAATGAGCAAACTTAGAGTCAAAACAGCTGACTGATGACTTTGGAGAGCGGCATTTAGTTTTTTAGGTATTCAATGAAGGAAGCTTCATGGATTTGATTCATTTGCGACTCTACGGGAACAGGTGTTTATCATAGGATAGCACTGGGGGTGGGGGGGTGGGGGAAAGAGACCCAGCAAACTGACCTTGCAGTTGCTGAGGCCCTTGTACATTCAAAAGCCCTGTGTGTGTGGGTGGAAAAGCCACCTTGGCTAGCCTTAAAGGATTGGGAACAAAACTCCGGTTCCTCACTTCTTACACCAGATGGGGGCATGGTGAATTTTCAGTCTCCCAAACCGTTTCCAAACGAACACTCTGCTGAGGAAACAATCCAAGTCCAAGTCTTAGAGGCACCTTGGTGTGGAAATCTGGAAAGAGTAGACGGAATTCGCACACAGGTAAAGGGGTAAAGGTTTTCAGTCTCTCTTTCTTCTCGTCCTGTACAGGTGAATTTTGTGGCATGCCAGGTCTTTGCTCTGTTTGCTGCATTGTGGTTTCGCATCTACTTAAGTCCTGGTAAAACCAGTCCCAATGTCCGGCACGCATTTGTCACCATTTTTGGCATCTATTTTGTCATCTTTTGTTTTGGCTGGTGAGTATGAGCCTCAGAAATTCTCGTCTTTATCATTTGGGTGTTTTGTGGCAGTATTCTTGGCACTTCCCAGGCACCGAGGAAAGAAATGTATTTACTCCTATTGTAGCAAAATGGGGATGTCCCAGGAATGTCCATTTACTCTTAAGAACCTAGAACCAATAAACTACCCGTTGGAAGTCAGTTCTGTGAATTTTTCTACAAATTATGCTTCTGCTGATCTCCCCCTGGGTCGTGTAAATAGGATACTATAAAGTTTTATTTCCCGGGTGAGGAACCTTTCCTACCTGTTGTAGATATTGGTGTTTTTCTTTCATTACTGCTAGGGGTAATTGGTGTTAGTCCTATGCCTGGAGTAAAATAAAAGTTTTAGTGCTGGTTTGAGGAAACACGAGTTATTTCTCAACAGAGAGGGCCTGTTGATGACACTTTCCTCTACCAGGTAAGCTGGCCAATTACCCTGGGAGTGGCCCTTCTGGGGCGGGCAGGTTGGGGGGGGAGTTCTAGGAACCAACCTTTCTAGATTGACAACTTAAGGAAATTTGTGAATTTATTTAGGATACTAGAATACTGCTCTTCCGCCTCCAATAAAAATTTGAGAAAGAATGATGAGTATTTTGAAGCAGCTACCAGGTGAAAGTCTTGGTATCTGGGAAAGGTCAGTTTGGGTCCAGGTGCTTTAAAATTAAAAAAACAAACAAACAAAAACACTAAAACAAAAAGTTCTAAAGAAAGAATACTTCTGGACTCTCGGTTGTATGTGTGCAAAAGTATAAGCATTCCATTTATGGATTGCTGACATTCCCAGCGCTGCCTTTGGCTGACTGTGTCGTGACTTCCTCCTGCCGTTTCGAGATCTAGTACCTTAATTACACAGAGCAAAAATACTTGATTTATTTTCTCTTACATAAACACTAGTTAACGGCTCACGCACTTCTTGGTGGGGGTGGGAGGTGGAGTGGTGGCATCATGGGGGTCCAGTAGGTCTGTTAATTTGGAATATAATCAGTGCTTCTCTCCGTCATGTCTTAAAGGTACTCCATACACCTTTTTGTGCTGGTGTTAATGTGCTATGGGATCATGGTCACCGCAAACGTATCCAGTATTCACAGGTAAGGTTGTGGGAGCAAACCAGGCCGCGTGAGGTTTTTTGTGACCTCTGAAATGTGTTTCCAGGGTAAAGGGGTACCTTCCCCATTTTGCCGGCCACAAGTGGCATATCCTAAGTTCTCTGAGAGTGTCAGAAGGAGAGGTGGGGACCCCTAAATGCTGGGAGCATTCAGAGGACGCTTTGCAAACGTGTCAGAGTAAAGGCAGCTCTGTGGTAGCCTCCAAGCTGGAAACAGTCCAAATGGTCACCATAGCAGGATACTACCCCGCAATTAAAAGGGGGGGAATGATTGATAACACACAGTCACATAGATGAAGCCTCAAAATAAATAAGCGGAATGGGGCGCCTGGGTGGCTCTGTCGTTAAGCGTCTGCCTTCGGCTCAGGTCATGGTCCCAGGATCCTGGGATTGAGCCCCGCATCGGGCTCCCTGCTCCGTGGGAAGCCTGCTTCTCCCTCTCCAGCTCCCCCTGCTTGTGTTCCCTCTCTCGCTGTCTCTCTCTCTCTCTGTTGAAAAATAAATAAAATCTTAAAAAAAAAAAATAGGCGGAATGAAGGACGCCACGGAAATTCTGTTCTTGAAAATGCAAACTAACTTGTAGTGGCAGAGATCAGATCAGAGGTTACCTGAGCTGGGACAGTCCGGGGAGATGTGGAAGGGATCAGAGAGGTAGGAAGAAGCGTGGGGAGCAGGTGATGGGTATGTCTGTTACCTGGAATTTGGCTGTGGTTTGGTGTGTACCTATGTCAAAACTTTGTGTACTTAAAATATGTACAGTCAAATGTTAAAAGAGGAAGACGTATTCTTACTATGATATTTTGATATAGAAGTTTTAGAAGTACCTTAATTCTGCCTTGAAGGCAACATGCTTGGATCATCGATTCAGACACCTGGGTATCTGTTTAGTATTGTCTGTGTTTCCCAGGGTCTGTGTGAAACCTCAGTATTAATTCTGCCTTCAAAAGTGCTGGAATGTAAGCTCTATGAAAACAAAGTTTGCTGTTGTATCCTTAGAGCCTAGAACAATACTGGGCACAAATAAGGGCTCAATAAATATTTTTGGAATGACTGACTGAACACCTTTGAAAAGACATTTGCCCTGTTGTGGCTTCTTTTCTGATGACTTCTCTGAAAAAGCAGATGCCTTCTTTGAGCTTTGGAAGGCTCTTTGATAAGACGATTAGCACAATAGTTTTCCTTCTGAAAATCATAGAAATTTAACTTTTTCATATATAATCTTGTAAATCACTTGTAATAAATGTCCGGTTTTCAAGGGAAAATATTTTTTGCATGATTCTAAATTTTATTTTCACCCAACTCTGTCCAGGTGTGCTCTGAAAAAAATGAATTGTAATCATCTCTCTTCTGAATGCCTTCCTTGAAAGGGATTGTGTCACTCCTTCAGAAGGGAAATGGGAAATCCATATTTCTAAGAACAGGTTTTGAGAATGCTTGATATTATAGTAGAATGCTGTCTTTAGTGGGGGTGGGGTGGGGTGAAAATGTCTGGCTTTTCCCAAACTTGAGTTTCAAAGCAATTCAACAATGAATAAAAATGTTGTTGCATCTCTATAGCACATTTGTAACGACCTTACAAATTGTGACTTGTCGGCTTTCGCCACACTTGTGTGATGCTGACGGGATGTGGACCATTTTTCAGAGGGTCAGGAACCGCCATGCACGCTCGCTCCGTGCCAGGCCCAGGGTTCGTCTCTGGCCAGGAATGGAACCCTCCAGCCTTGGCCAAGCTGAGTGGTTTCCAGACAGGCTATGACTGCTCCACCATCATAATATTGTGGTAGCAGCGGGTCATGTCCTAAGACAAGAAAGAATGCCCTCTTTCTTTGCTTGTGTGGTTGCCAAGATTGCAGAAGTAGGGAGTGGTTCATAGTTCCTGATGGAGGGAAGTTGCTTCCTATTGAGGCAGGGGAAGAACATTAGCCTGGAAATCTGGCTCTTTCTAGCAGCGTGAGTTCAAATAGTTCTCACAGCTTCTCTGTACATCAGATTTCCCACCTCTAAAAGGTGAGGTTTAAGTTTTCTTCAGGATCAGGATTTCATGGTTCTTCGTGAATTGTTTTCTTCCCCTGGCTGAGCCAGTTAGAAGAGTTCTGTCCTTTGGCTGGGAAGCTGAGGGGAAGGTCAGTCTTTGCTGCTCTGGGGAGTTAACCCATTTCTGGACACATGGTTGTCTTTGTCTAGAGAACTCTTGGGGCACCAGGCTCTGTTTCCTTCCCAAGCCACTCTGGGACAGAAAACATGGGTGTTAATTTATTATGTCTGAACCAACTGGAGCAGAATATAGTTTGTATCTCCTCAGACTGACAGCTTCGTTTCGGAATGTGGTAACGCAGTGACCAGTTGGGGGGCGGGGTACCTGCTTTGCGCCAAGTGCTAAGCCAAGCTCTTTTAAATAGTTTTCATGGTTTTTAATATAGAAAGTCTTATTTAGTGTATCATTTGATATACTTAATATTTCGTGTCATTATTGCAAATATATTCTTTCTAGGACAATTCTATGGGATTCAGATTTTTTTTCTCTGCCAAGGCGGGGAAATAAAAGTTCAGAGAAGTAAATAGGTATACAGATCCATGAATTTGCACAAACTGAATACATCCATGTTACCACCACCTAGATCAGTAGGGGAATATTATCATCACTCTGCCCCAATCTCTACCACAGCCCTCCTTCTTAAAATAACTACTCTCTTGACTTCTCACAGGAGTTTTGCCATTGCTGGGATTTGAAATCATGTTGGTCTCGCTCCAGGATATGTACTCTGTCTACCACTCCTGGATTCCTTAGATTTTTTTTCGTTTGTCTAGAGCATGAATACATTGCCCTGTTGTATTGGGACATAGTACTTGGCGCCATCCTTAATAAGTAGCTCTTATTATAACAAGTGAGTGGAACTTGCTTTTCTCTCTGGGTGGAGGGGCAGGGGTAGGTATGGGTCTAGCTCCTGTTGAGGAGAAAGAGGAAGCAGGCATGGCTGCATTCAAAAGGGCCCTGGGAGAATTTGTCTTTTGAGTTTGTTTTGTGATTTTTTTTGCCTTGACCCTCACAAACTGGCCAGAGAAAGAAACAGAGCCTGGACACGGAAAGGCCTAACTAACTCCATTCTGCTTCTGCTCAGTCTTCAGAAAGTCGCTTTCTCTTAGTCACTTGCTTTGTTCACCATCTTCCTATTTTGGAAAGGGTTAAGGATGAACCCGAGGCTGGGAAAGTCTTTTTTTGGTTGTAACATCTTTGTTTGTAAATAGCAGTAAAGAGAACATAAAGACATGTAGTGCTTGAGAGTTTTCACAACTCTTTCACACTCACTGTCTGGTTCTCCCTTGCCACCAAATGAGTTTTTATTATTCCTACTTCACTATTCCGTAGGTTTAGTCTTCATGAGTTATTTTAATGTGAATTTGTCAAGTTCAGTATAATGTAATACGATAAAATACATCTTCCCTGTTTTATGACCCATGTTTAAATGCTATACCTTCTGCATTTATGTCTGTCTCTGAGAGGCTCCTGAGCCATTTAAAATGTCAAATGTACTCCTTTCAGTTCATTTCAACTAACAGTATCTGAAGCCCTTCCATGGTCAAGGGTGCGGATGCCCAAGGTCACCGTGAGTTGGCGTGACAGACACATGCATATCATTTCAGCGTTATAATTGTGTGTGTTGGCATGCAGAGCTCAAGAAATACTGGCAGTGTGGCAAGGAATTGTGTTGGAGGAGGGGTGGGGTAGGTGGGGGAGCCTGAGCCAGGGGACTGACTGGGAGCTGAGCCTTACCTGGTGCTTAGGCAGTTCGCAGGTGGACGAGAGGCTGGAGAAAGGGGGCTGCAGGCAGGGGAAGGGCTGTGTGGAAGATATTTGGCCTGAAAATGGAAGCTGTAATTGTGGAGAGTGAGCAGCTGGTGTAGTTTGAACATAAGGTGGACCAGGAGCGTGGCTGGAGAGGAGTCCAGAAGGGAAAGCTAGAGCTCAGTGCATGAAGCACATCACATGTTGCGTTCAGGAGTTTTGATGTGACTGGACAGTGGGACCCATTGGAGGCTTTTAAGCCAGACAACATTTATTTAGTTACTGGTTCGCACAGCATGCAGTTGTCTGCTCTTGTGAATGAAACACATAAGACATTCTTGGCCTTCATGGGGCTCTTGGTCTAGTAGGGGAGACAATGGTGAATTAGATTATCACTGTTAAAAAGAAAACCATAGACCCACAATGGAGTCACTTGGGCCAACTCACCAACCTGGCTGCAGTTTTCAACCTCTCCCAGAAATGTAAGTCCTCCTTGGTCAGCTAGGAATTTTCTGGTCAGCACCAAGGAGGATCTGTCACATGGCCCTCTCCATCCCCCAAAGGGAAGATGAGGTCATCCCGCATGGTAAGACGCTTCCCTCTAAGGGAAAGTGGCCTTGCTTGAAACAATCCCTTCTTCTCTTTTCCTAGTCACTTCCTTATTCCCCCTTCTGCCTGTAAAAACCTTCCATTTTGTACCACTCCTTGGAGCTCCCCTCTCCTTGCTAGATGGAATGCTGCTGCCAGAGCCACACATCACTTAAACGAAGATAATTAGATCTTCAGCATTTACTCAGTTGAGTTTTTGTCCTTTCACGTCACAGATGTAGAATTGCAAATTGATGAGTGTTCTGAATGGTGCGCGTGTGCGTGTGCATGTGTGCATGAGCGTGCGTGTGTGGGTTTTGCCGGTTTATCCCATGAGGTCAGGGCCTGTCTCAGTAGGAAGCCATGGAGCGATCCGTAGTATGTGGTAACTGAAGCCTCAGGCTTGGGCGGGTAGGGTCCCGAGCAGAGCCCCTGGGAACGCTAACACCTAAGGAGTAAGTGGAGTAAGATAAGCTGAGTAAGAGCCGTGGAAGAATTAACCAGAGAGGTGGGAAGCAAACACGAAGAATAGAAGCCGAGAGAACATAGCGTTTGAGGAAGGGAGTGGTCGGCAGGGTAACGCTGGCCTGTATTTTACAAAGATCTGGTATAAGCGCAGGGCTTTGGGAAGAGGAAAATCTGAGAGCAAGACCTTCCGGGTCAGTGGTTCCCAGCTCTGGCTGCACAATGGACTTAACACCTGCTGGGGGTATCCTGTACCAATTAAGCCCGAATATCAGGGGTGAGGCCCAGGTGTCTGCAGTTTGTAAAGCTCCCTGGATGACTCCACTGTGCTGTCCCCATGACAAAAGATGAAAGGTTCCAGGCAATGAGTGCAAAAGTGAGGGGGAGCGCGCGGACTGTGTTGCAGAGAGAGCAGAGGGGACTTTGCGATGGATTGCTTGGGGGGGGGGTGAGGGAGAGGAAAAGGAGAAAATTGATTGTGTTATCGCCCTGTGTAATCATCTGATCCTCGCTGTTTCTCGTTTCAGATACTCCTTTTTTGTAGCAATGGGATACCTTACAATATGCCACATCAGCCGCATATACATCTTCCACTATGGAATCCTCACTACGGATTTCTCTGGGTGAGTATCTTAATTTGGGTGGCTTGGGGGCGCTTTGACCGCAGGCTTTGACTCAGTCTCTTGGGGTCTGTGAAGATGAAGCCTGCACAGGAGACTCCTTGGCGGTAGGTTAAATCAGTTGGTAAGACCGTGCTGGAATGAGGTTGGGGTTGAAGATTTGATGAACTCTGCCATGTTGTAAGGTAGGGGGTTGCAAACAAGGGCCCGTGTGCTCTCTCTCTCCTGCCGCCTCGTTCTGTAGAGTTACCCTGGAACACAACCAGGTACCGACTTATTTATGTGTTGTCTCTGGCTACTCTTACAGTTGTGTGGTTGTGACATATGACCCACACAGCCTAAAATCTTCACGCTTTTGCTCTTTACAGAAAAAGCTTTCCAACCCCTATTCTGAGACTCTTAACACAGGGTCGGTATTTTATCTCATACTAATTTTTAATAATAGAGAAATTCTTCCATACTAGTTGAGAAGCAGACCCCCTTGGGTGGCCCCTGCCTGCCCTGGCCCCTCCCCCAGATTACCTAGACTTCTAGCAACTAGAAGGTAATACCCAGCGCAGCAGGGGTCTCCATACTAGTTGTAAAAATGTTGTCTGTCACCGGGGCCTTAACCTAGTGGGCCACCCCTCTCCTCAGGATCACCTGGTGAAGACCGTGGACAGAGCAGTGAAAATTTTGTATTCTGTTGATGTTTGTTTGGGAAGAGCTTTTTATGAATCTTGAGGAACGGACGCTAAGGCAGTGATTCCTCATAACACATTATAGTAGCCTTGTTACTTCTCTGGGAGCTCGGGTCTGTTCTCTGCGGCTGTCTGAGGTCAGGGAGAGCCCGCCTTCTCCCCCGTAGGTTGGATTGCACTTGATTCCATGAGTTCTTGGAGAACAAGTAATGACATAAAAGGGTTGCAACTCAGGGCTCATTTCCCACCACGAAGAGGCTTAGGAAGGCAGAGGTGTTTGCTTTGAGGCACAAAGACGGTTTGTTGTCCTCAAGTTTCTGTGTCTGTGGTTTGCTCCTTCACACATCCGTTCTTCCTACCCTCAGGCTCTTGGATTTTCCGTCTCTCTTTGACTTGTCTGTCTCCGTTCTGCATTCCCCTCCCCACAGGTTGTGGAGCACAGTCGTTCAGTTTTTCTGAAACAAATTCACAAACTTTCTAATCGTTACTTTCTAATGATGTGTGTGGGGAAATAGGGGGCAACGAAGATAACCATATAGCCAGGAAGTTATAGCATTAAAAATCATTTTTATTTTTTATTTTTTTAAAGATTTTATTTATTTATTTGAGAGAGAATGAGAGAGAGAGAGCACGAGAGGGAAGAGGGTCAGAGGGAGAAGCAGACTCCCCGCCGAGCAGGGAGCCCGATGCGGGACTCGATCCCGGGACTCCAGGATCATGACCTGAGCCGAAGGCAGTCGCTTAACCAACTGAGCCACCCAGGCGCCCTAAAAATCATTTTTAAATAGTGATCATAACTCTCCCTAGTGTTTAATGAACAAACTTCATTTTTTGGTTTCACCCCCAAAACTGTACCCCACCCCTCCCCGCCCAGACACACACACACACACACACACACACACACACACACACACACACACACACACACACACACACACTCAGAAGAGCTCCTGGCACTTACTAGGTGTTCAATGAATGAATCAGTGACCTACTGTAGTTATTTTGTCAGTTCTGTTTTCAGTGCTTCTGGGAGCCTCAGTTAAAGAGCCCCTCCGGCCATATTTTGGGTTGGGATGGGGAATGAAAAGCTTTCACTTCAGCCCAAAGTAGGTTATTACCGGTTTCTCATCTGTATCATCTTTTCTTTTGGGGGGCACAAAACACATACTCATGCATTGATTTCTGCCGGAGTTTTTGAGTCCCCAGTATGCTAGGCACAGGGCCAGGTGTGGGGCAGGAGGAAAGGTCTTTTAGGCGGAGGGAACAACTGCACGAGAACACGGCATTGTGACAGGTGTCTGCGGAGGGCCCGGAAACCTGCTTCCCTCTCCCTTACTGCCCTCGTCCCTTTGTCACTGGGTCCTCTCAGGTGGGCAGCCTGGCTGTCACTAGGTTCTGTCCACTCCTCTGCGCATCCACGGCCACCACTTGGGACCACCACATGTCTGGCTGTCTGTTTTTCTGCCCCGCCCCTTGTCCGGTCTGTGCTCTCTACCACCCAGAACGAGGCTCTAAAATATCCAAAGCAGTGGCGCCTGGGTGGCTCAGTTGGTTAAGCATCTGCCTTCAGCTCAAGTCATGATCCCAGGGTCCTGGGATCAAGTCCCACCTCAGGCTCCCTGCTCAGCGGGGAGCCTGCTTCTCCCTCTGCCTGCTGCCCCCCCTGCTTGTGCTCTCTCTCTCTCTTTCTCTCTGACAAATAAATAAATAAAATCTTAAACAAATATATCAAAGCAGGTGATGCTCCGGACTGGATTCTTCTGCAGTCTACTCCAGCCATGCACTGAGCATGGCAGCATTGCAGAAAAGCTTCTGGTCTGCGCACACGCTAGGTTAGGTTCACGTCTCTGTGCCTCTCCCTTGCTCATTCCCCTACTTAGAAAGCCCTTTTTCGACCTTGTCTGTGTGGAAATCTCTGACTTCACTTTCTACACCCCGGCTCAAAATCACTTTGCAAAGCTTTCCCTGATTGCCACCCCCTCCCTCCCCTGTCTCCGGTCCCCTTCCTCCTGTTGGTCACTGCATTTTGGAGCCTGCCTAGGAGGAGGGGTCTCAGCCAGCTTTCACTGGCTGGTGCGGCCCATCCCCTGTGAATCCTACTACCTGAGATCCTGGTGCACGGTGTTTGGAGTCAGCGGGCGAAGGTGCTTCTGCTCTCGCCAGCTGATCTGTATGCTTGTCTAGTGTCCTGGGTGTTTTATTCCTAAACTTGCTTATTCCTGTTTGTACTTACATAGAAACTGATTATATATGGACGTGAAAGGAGAGAGAGTGGTTTCTCTCAATCTCGGTTGTGTCCTTTGGAAAGAGACCAAGGCAAGTTCAGTCTGTTACAGGTAATGCGTGATGAAGGTGAAGTGGGTGGGAGGCTGGAGGGGTAGGGGTGTGCACCAGAGCCGGGCAGGTTTCTGCATTCAGGTCACCGCAGTGTGGGCATCTTGACTTTCTTTTACCTTTGCGGTCTACGTTAGAGGAAATGACCCTGGAGGTAGCAGACAGGGCTTATGGAAGAAAGATGCTGTCACTCAGCAGATCCATGCTCCAAAGGGCTTTGGTGCTGAATCAAAAGGTTCATTCATGCATCACTCAGCAGATGCTGACTGAGATCCCCAAACCCGCTAGGCCAGGTTACAGGACACAGGGTTGAGCAAACGCTGTGGAATGAATGCACTTACAGCTACCGACTGCAAGTCTGAATGGGAAGTTCACCTGTGATTGCATCATTGTGTACTGGGTTGATTCATGTTCCCCTGAACTCAACCTCAGAACATGTTCTTCTTTGGAAATAGGATCTTTGTAGGTGTAACTAGTTAAGATGAGGACATACTAGATTAGGGTGGGCCCTCCCTTCCTAATGGCTGGTGGCCTCCTTGTAAGGAGGCCATGGGAGACACGGTGCTGGGGACCCATATAGGGAAGGCCACGTGAAGACGTAGGCAGAGGGAAGGGTGATGGTAGCCACAGGCAAGGGAACTCCCAAGGATTGCCAGAAGCCACCAGAAGCTAGAGGAGAGCACAGAACAGGTTCTCCCCCAGCCTCCAGGAGAAACCAACTCTGCCAATGCCTTGATTTCAGACTTCTGGCCTCCAGAAAATAGTGAGGTGATAAGCTTCTGGTTTTAAGCCACCCGATTTGTGGGAATCAGTTATGGCGGCTCTAGGACACCAATACACAGTGTTTTATGAATGCCTACCTCTTGATGGGCTAACAGCTGTCCCCCGCTCCTGATCATGCAGGGTAAGAATGCCTCCAGTGTCCCCAGTTCTCCCCCTTCTTGTCACACCTCCTCTTCCGTCGGTTCTGTCCATAACACCGTAAACTCTTGAGTGATCATTAATTCATTTTTCGTATAACCAGAACTGGCGGAAGTTGCCAGTAGGAAAAAATAAAGGGGATTCTTGGAAAACCGCAGTGTGCTTGTGAAATGTGGTGGATCTGGGGACTTGGACGGCAGGGGACAATGGAAATCCGTCACTGTCAACCTGACTTCCAGTAGCAGCATCAGACACATTTCCTCAAGTGATGTCTGCACTCGGGCATTTTTTAGATCTCCTTGTATTAAGAAGTCTCTTAACATTACACACAAAACCGTAGAATGTTTGGGGGCACCTGGGAGGCTCAGTCAGTTAAGGGTTCGACTCTTGATCTCAGCTCAGGTCATGATCTCAGGGTCATGAGATTGAACCCTGCATTGGGCTCCATGCTCAGCTCAGAATCTGCTTGAGATTCTTTCTCCCGCTCCCTCTGCTCCTCCTCCCCCACTCACACACTTTCTCTAAATAAATACAATCTTAAAAAAAAAAAAAAAAACCACATAGAATATTTGAACTGGAAAGGACACTGTGGGAAAAGCTACAAAGAAGGTGTGTCTATTACACTGTGGGAAAAGCTACAAAGAAGGTGTCTCTTACAGGTCTCGGTCTCATGAGACTTAACTTCTCAGTGCCTGTGCTATTCGGTTCTTGGGCGTGTGTTGTTGTGTGTGTGGTTTTTTTTTTTTTTTTTTGTAATTATAGAACATTATTAAGCAGCATTATCTTTTCCCTCCCACCATAAATGCATAAATGCCTCCCTGACATACATCCGTCTTCTTGGAGAAACAAACGGAGAGGTACATACCAACCTGAAAATGACAAGATGTTTTAAATCTCAAATTTTCAGTTAGAGATTCTTGACCAACGTCTATTTTAATGATGAGCCTGCAAGCAAACACCAGTTCCCCTTCAGAATGGAATTCATTTCACATGGCCATTTATTTCAGTTTTAAAATCTTATTTTGGGGAGGAATAAAGTAGTGTTTTGAAGCTGAATTCTGGTGTTTT